GCATGAAAATCTTTGAAATGATAAACGTGGCAACAAAAGTAGGCATAAGAGGTCATACGTATTGTTGTGAAAACCAAAATGATCTCATTGAATTCATCCTGCATAGCAAAGAGAGTAAAAAAAGCGCCAAATCATTTAAGACTTCTTTGATTTCAGTAAAGAATTAAAAAATTAAATTATTAAGTACTCACAAATTCCGAGCTCAGAAAGTTGCTTGGTTTTGAGATTGAGGAAAAGAAATGCAGATTAAAACCTGACATTTTCACAAAAGATGATGAAAGGTGTGAATTCAAAACTCGGAAAGACACCATGGATTTTTTTCAGAGTGAACGGAAATAAACTTGCATAAGCGATCATAAATAACTATATTCCGTATTCCTGCCTCTTCTCATGCAGGGAGGTAGTGTTCCACGCATGTTAATCCTTGATGTAAACCTCACGGAACATTCCTTTTATCCTAACCTCGCTCCTTTCATATTATTGTATCAGCATGTTCAGAATCTTTTTTTACAAAAACCTTGGTGGCCAGTATAAGTTAGTTTCAATTCATAATCTGCAAGACTCAATTGAGAGACGCCATCTTGTTTGTAAGTTCATGATATTTCACAGCAAGCTCTAAAACACGATTCATTGATGGTTCCACGGATATCACATCTCGTTTCACTAAGTAACGATTAACTTACTTCACCCGACACTCATTGTAAAACTTTCGTCAAATCAAAGATTATGCAACATTGTCCTAAATTCTTTTTGTTTACATGTTACGCTCTGTTTCATCAGTATAGATATTTACTAATGTTTTATGATTCATTTTTTTACTTAAAAATGTCAGGGTTTATGGATACATATACAGGAAGCTGGTAAATAAGTTTTCTTCATACTTTCATCAGTATAGATATTTACTAATGTTTTTTGATTCATTTTTTTACTTAAAAATGTCAGGGTTTATGGATACATATACAGGAAGCTGGTAAATAAGTTTTCTTCATTGATCTTTCTCTGTTTTCCTTATGTTTCCTCTGATTCTACTTTGAGACTTTTCCATTCATTGTTTATCAATTTGCAAACGAGGTTCACCAGGTTTTCAGGTAAACAATGATGTTCATGAAATTATGACATTTTATTTTTTGAGAAAAACTCCATCGTCTATTGACAAAAATGAATTGACAAAGAAGCTACCTGGTTCTTGTCGTGAGATTATTTGTTTCGTGATCCGTGATTCGACACCAGTTTTTGCGAGAGAGATAAAATGTGATATCAACCTGTGAAACATGATACACCATCTATATAAGGGAAATGCAGGAGTTGGACCTTGCTGCGAATAAATTTTGACTGGCAGCTTGCAAGGCGTCCCTCCAATTTGGTTAGGAACGTTTCCGTGATCTGCAATGTGACACCACTCTTGCAGTGGGGGGTGAAAAACTACCTTGATTATCCAGAAAATTATGTTGTATCGTGTTTTAGAGCCTGCAGTGAAAAAACTTTAGATTTGCAGCCTGCATGTCGTCTTCTCAATTCTTAGATATCAGAAATTTGCTCAAAGGGGATATGACTCCCTTTAGTTTTTAGTAAAACTTGGTCTGAATATGCTGATATTGTTCATCTTTTTCTAAACATCTAA